TCAGGGGCGGAAGGAGAGCCCGTCTGCTCAGGGGCTTTGCGGTTCCTCCGCCCACTTTTGGTCTCCCAAGCTTGTTTTGACATCTGTGTCGCTGTGTTTCCTTCCCGTCTCCCTTTGTTCTTGTGTTTATACAGTTCTTATACCCATGCTGTCACTGTACTGGCATTTTGAGAGAGAGGGTAAAACATATGCATCCTGTCTTCCATATTTAACCACAGTCCCCAGGTGACTCCCAAATGACTCACATTGAGAAGAAAAATGCTTGCATTAGGAATTCTAAAAGATGTAAAGATCTAAATGCAGTATCACCCCAACCATATAAAATATGAGTTTTATAGTTTAACCTAGGCATTACATTCTGGTTTATGTTTTCAGTGTTTGCCATTTTATGCAGTGCTCATTTGTTTTTGAAGTATTATTATTATTGCTATTATTTTGTTTTGCTTTGTTTTGAGACAGGATCCCACTCTAGCCCAAGCTAATCTGGAACTCCCTATGCAGACCAAACTTGCCTTGGAGTTGTCATGATCCTCCTGCCTCAGCCTCCCAAGTGCTGGGATGACAGGCTTATACTCAGACTTCAGGCTTACAAGTTGTTTTGTTTTTAAAGTATCTCACCAATAAACATACACACAATAAACAAGTGTGTGGACAGTAGCTTAGTCACCGTAAAGTAAAGACTTCGCTAGTCAGTCTGGCTAGAAGTCAGTGCCGTCAACTGGGTGGCATGAACACCAGAAATTAATTCCCTCACGGTCTGGGAAATTGAACGAGGCCTTGGCAGGGTGAGGGACTGGAAAAGGTTTCCTTCTTACATTGTAGGTGGCTGTCTTCTCTTGCATTCTCACAGGGCATGAAGAGAACTTGGGTTTTTCTTCCTTGCAGAGCACTTAAGTTCTTCTTGCTACCCCAACCCTAACCCTGGTGACCTTACTTAGCCATCTCCTTGAAGGCTACCATTTCCAACACAGTAACACAAAAGGCCAGGCTCCAACCTACGAATTTGGGGACAGGGCACAGTTCTGTGTGACAACTGTCCATGTGCCCAGTAGAATGTCTTGACTCTCTGCGGTCCCTACCCGATTACATTCTCCTGTCTCAGGGTCCCCTCCACATATTTTGCATTTTCACGGTTTATTTCATTTCTATTTTTAACTCCTATTCTGCTACGGTTTGGATGTGTTTCCTCAAAAAGCGTGTTTTGACCAGGTGTGGTGACACCTGTCTGCACTTCTAGCACTGACCCAAGAGTTTGAGGCGTGGTACCAGGAGGACGAGGAGTTCAAGGCTGACTTGAGGTACATAGCAAATTCAAAGTCAGCCTGGGCCTCATGAGACCCTGTATCAAAACAAAACAAAGCATATTTTGTCAACTTAATTCCCCAGTTCATGTATTTTAAATCCTTTCTTACTTATTTATTTGTTGACTTTTGTGAGTGTGTACACATACGTGCATATGGATGCATGCATTTCCTAACTGAGTGGGGGTCAAAGGGCAACTTACGGAAGACAGTTCTCGCCTTCCACTGTGTGGGCCCCAGGGACTGGCTGAGTCAGGTCAGGCAGCAAGTGTCTTTCAACCACTGAGACACCTCAGCAGCACCTAGTTCATATATTTCCAAGGTGGGTTTTTGGGAGGTAATTAGGATTAGATGAGGTCATGGGAGGAGGCAGAACTGGGCTACCATGGCTACTGCTTCTCATTGTGCAGTAATGATGTAATGCTGCAGGATGGCCCTTACCAGAGCCCATGCAGGTGCTGGCACCGGGCTCTTGGATTCCCCATTCCCCATAACTACGAGTCAGTATATATGATTTGCAAATGACTAAGCCTTGGGTATTTTGTTATAGCAAACTAAGTCAGCAGACTAAGTCAGGTCCTAAGTGAAATTGCTTTGCTTGCCTTCAAATTTTGTGTAAATGGAATCATAGTTATAGAATCCTTTAGTTTTGATCAACATTCTTAAGACTCATTCCTGTTCTCATGTGGACCCGCGGCTTATCTGCATTCATTGTTATAAATTATCCAATTAAGAATATAACAAACATTTAATGCACTGAATAGTTTAATTTGAGTTCTGTCCATATTGCTGTAGGTAGTGTCTGTAGGCTTCCTCGGCGCTGGGTTGTGGTGCCCACAGGGGGTGATTCGATTGTGTGTGTGCACCTGAGTATAATGGAAGAGCACAGTGTACTTGCATCTTCCTCTTTATTAGTAGCCACTGCTACCAAAATTCTCCAAATCCACACACTACCCACCATCGGCATAACGGCTTCCAGTTCCCCACAGTTCTCCAGACACTTGGAATGGCTGCAATTCAAGTGTTTTCCTTACACGATGGGTGCCTAGTCATTTCCCACCATAATTTTAATTTTGTTCTCCTCAATAAAAAAAAATTTAAGGACTTTCATGAGTTAATAGACCACTTGGAATTCTGCCTGTTCAAATTTTTATCTCACTCTAAAATGGATTGGGCTGCCATCTTTTTAAATTTGATTTTGGGAGAGGGGTTCTGACTCTAGTATAAGTTCTCCTTAGAACTGCACTGGTACAGATGTCTTCATTCTCTTAAGAGTTATCTTCCAGGGACTGGAGAGACGGCTCAGCAGTTACAAGCATTTGTTGCTCTTACTGTGAACCTGGGTTCGATTCTCAGCACCCACATCAGGCAGCTCACAACCATCTGAAACTTCGACTCCAGGGGATTCTATGTCCTCTTCTGGCCTCTATGGGCACTGCATTAGGGTGTATATATGCACACATCTACATAAATAAAATAAAACTTTTGTTTTTAGTTTACCAAGTGCATCTGTTCTTTCCTCTACTTGGTGTTTCTTGCTTCATCTGTAATAAAACTTTCCCTCCCCTGAGGTCATGGTTTTCCTTTGCACCTTCGTATTTCACAAGGAAAGTTAGGGGCTAATCCACATAGAACTGACTCTGGGGTATGATGTGCAGTTAACTATGTAGTTTATTATGCCAGGTCTGCTGACTCTCACACTCTTACCACAGACTGACCTTCTCTACTGTTTTGTGGAGCTACCTTCATCACAAATTAAATGACTGCACACGTGTGCACATGTGCACACACACACACACACACACATACATGCACACGCACACACGCTGGTCTGCTTAGAGTCTGGATAGCCTAATAGCAATGGCTTAGTACCCCAGTGGGGCGATTTCTCCTCCCTTGTTTTCCTTCCTCAAAAGTGTCTTGGCTATAATTTACTCTTTGTATTTCCACTTACATTTTAGAGTCAGTTTGTCAAATAATGCCATAAATGTTTGTTGAGACTGATTGGGAATAACACTAAATTGATTACTCATCTGTGCGGCTTCTACAATATTAAGACTTGGAGTCTAACAACATAGCATTATCTCCCCATTTATTGGGGCTGTTTCTGTAATTTACTTGATGCTTTGATATTTTTATTTCTAGAAGCTTGATATTTTGAAATGCCAGTGTAAATGATACTTCAAAAATTATTTTACTTCCAGCTTGTAGTATGCTGCTAATACATATATAATGTATCAATTAATGTATATGAATTCACACAACTATCTTGATGTACAGTCTTATTAATTCTAGTAGATTTTAAAGATCTCTTTTACTAAATGTGTGTGTGTCTTCTGTGTGTTCAAATGCACACGAGTACAGATTTTCATGGAGGACAGAAGAGGGTGTTGGATCCCCTAAAGCTGGCCTCCATGGGCACCTGCACTCACGTGCATGTGAACACAAACCACAGGCGGTTGTGAGTTGCCCAGTGTGAGTGCCTGGAATTCACTCTGGTTCTCTGCAAGAGTAGCAAGGGTTCTTAACCGCTGGGCCAGCCTCTAACTCTACTAGTTTCTCTTTAGATTATGTTGGATATTTTATGTACTCTACATCATTTTCTGTAAGTTATAGTGTATTTGGTAATCTTCCTATGCACTTTTTTTTTATTCTTGCCTTACTGCACTGGCCAGAACCCCCTCCATGCAGTTAAACTCATGGGATTCTCTGATATTTATTTTCCCTCTTTGATCTCAAGTGAGATCTCTGTGCTCACAATTAACATTGGATAAGTGAACATCCTTTTAGGAGGATACTGCTTTTTGAAGAAGTGATATTTTTTATCAGAGTGTGATAATTTCTTTCTGTTCCAACTTTTCTAAGAGTTTTGAAATCATAAACGAAAATTGAACCTTATCAAATGGAGTTTTCGTATCAGTGAAAATGGCTATGCAATCTCTCTCCCTTTACTATACTAACAGAGGTGGAACATTTTATTGTGGCATGTGTTACTTTTAAAGTTAGCAAGAATGAATGGTGGGAAGAGAGAAAGCTTTTCGGAGACCCTGTTGTTACATCCGAAGGCTCAAACAAGGGCAGGGGCGCTTGCCTCAGCTGGGGTGACACATCTGTTTTTAGAAAACTCTTCTGTTTTCAAACGATAGAGGTCTCATGTGCCAACCAGAGACACAGGAACCCTAGAAATGCTACAGTCCTTTAGAAGCACCTGAGCTGGGACAACTTACACACCTTCGGCCATGGAGTATTCTATGGCCAGATCCCAGAGCCACCGTTCATAGTTTTTTCCTAGTTTGCCCCACCGCTTCAAGTATAGTCCTTCCCAGAACCTCATTCTCACATGCCTGTGTGTGTGTGTGTGTGTGTGTGTGTGTGTGTGTGTGTGTGTCCATCCGGGAGGACTCACTTGCCCAGGGCATTACAGTCTAATGAAATCAGACCTTCCAGGCATCAGAGGTTTAAAGGACCTCCGTAAAGTTCCACTGTGGCGTCAAGGTTGAGAACCACTAATCTACACAGTCTTGAAGTTCAGAAACATATGTGTGCTTAGGAAAAAGGCACACAGAAGAAACCTGACCATTGCAAAGTCAAATGGGCACCAGAATCAGACTCACCTAAATACAAACTGGGTGATATACAAAGGCTGCTGAGAAAGACAAGACAAGGAAAAGACACAGGAATGGTGACGGTTTTACTCACTCGATTTTCTCTGGAAGATCGTTTTGGGTCATACACACACAGTTGAATAGAATAGTGATGGTAATAAATATGGAGAACCAGCTGTGAGGCCATGTTAAGGACAAGTGGGAGTCTCCACCTGCCCCCACCCCCCATGTCGGATCACCTTGCTGCCAAATGAACAGTTCATGACTCAGCTACTATCAGCGTTATGGTCTTGTCATGCAGTTGCTGCTCACATCTGCTGAGTACCTAGCCCATCTGAGAACTCTGTCTTTATTACAAGTAGTAGAAGCTGTTGGAATAGCAATAATGAGGGTGTTGGTTATTGAACCCACGGCTTTGTACTAGGCAAGCACTGGACCACTGAGCCAAATTTCCAAATCCTGTTCACATTATGCCTAATACTAACCTATGGGTCGTTTTTATCATTTACATCTAGGATCTGAGCAAACAGCATGAAGAGGCTTAAATAGCCTTTCTGAATCATGCTGTGTCAAGCAGCCTGGTAACCATAGTTACCAGGTGGAGGTTTATTACTTTTTATGAAAATCTGTTTAGTTAGATTGTTTTCCTAAGCTGAGCTCAACCACATTGAAGCAATGGATTCTGGGTAGAGATGGCCAGCGCAGGCACAGGAAGTGACATGCTGGCTCTGGGAGGCTAGTCCAAGGGGAGTAAGACGTTACTAGCCAGAGCGAGACTCTTAGGGACAGAGGTTTGGCTAAGGGAGGCCAGTCCAAGGAGAGTAAGACGTTACTAGCCAGAGCGAGACTCTTAGGGACAGAGGTTTGGCTAAGGGAGGCTAGTCCAAGGAGAGTAAGACGTTACTAGCCAGAGCGGAACTCTTAGGGACAGAGGTTTGGCTCTGGGAGGCTAGTCCAAGGAGAGTAAGACGTTACTAGCCAGAGTGAGACTCTTAGGAACAGAGATTTGGCTAAGGGGTACTCAGAAGGGGAGGGAGGCTTTGAAAGGAAGTAAATAAATGGAGGTAGAGAGAATCTACAAGCAGACCTCCCCTAGGCGGACATTTCCTCAGGACTGATGAGCTCCAACAGTCTCTTCTAAAGGAAAACATCTGTCCTGGAGAGAAGCTTTACCTACAAGGTAAGGATGGTACTCATCCCTCATCATTTCTACTCAAGCAGAAATATTTAAAGTCATTTTAGTTTTCTGTAAATACCTTTCATGTTTTTGTTTTAGATTAACTTAGGAAAACATCTGTCTGAATAGGGAAATTCTGCTGATGAAACCACATTTTCCTCTTGATTTACAATTAGGAAATATGTTCACCTGGGGGAAACATAACACAAGGACAGAAATTTAAATCACATCTTCAGTTCTGCAAACCTTACAAATTGTGTGATAGCACATGTCTATGAAGGCATTCACAAAAATGTGATTGGAGTTATAATTTTGATGGAATCTTGTTTGGGGCTGTAGTGACCAAACTGATTAAAATTAAGTATAACTGTGCACACTTTGTGAGGAGGAGACCCCTCAACAGACTTTCTGTCCAACTGGGACTCCACCAGGTAATTAGTTATCTATCAGATCTCAAGATAGAAAGACTACTCGTTGGTCACTTGGCTATTGATAGAGATTTTATTTCTAATTAGCTGTTATTTACTTATCTCGATGTAATTCAACTGGGATCCATGGAGGACAGATTGTGCATTTGCTATTTTTCCTTATTTGAGATTTCTGTGGCCATATATATATATATATATATATATATATATATTATATATATATATATGTATATATTCCTTTAAAACATAAAAAGTCATTTTGATGAGTAGTGTAACTCTTAAAGAGCTGAATGAATGAAGTATGTTTAAAATCTTGAGTCTCAGTGTAGTACTATTTTAAAAATAAAAGCCATGCTTTGTTTTATGTAGAACAATATAATTTATAAAGTAGATGGACTATAATGGAATGACTTGATATAGTTTTAAACAGAAGAAAACCTGGAGAAAATTCAGGTTACCAAACCCCAACCTGCAAACAATTTAAAAAAAAAATCATTCTATAAAATGTGTCCAAGCAACAGATGTTTTCAGTGACATCTGATCACTGGTGCACTGAGCACAATGGAATTTAAAAGAAAACCCAGCTTTCCCATTCACTGTCCCAAAGGAGGAACATGCTGGAGTCCTTTCAATGAAAAGCTGGGTCTTGCTGCTTCAACGCCCAGAAGTTTAATTCAAATGTATTTTCAAAAAAGCAACACTTTGCCGCAGTAGAGAATTCCCACTGCGAGAATTATTACCTCAATCTGTGTCCATTCACTTGCTGTCTACTTCCTCACTGAAGACACCGCCCCTGAGATGCCACAGGCTGGACCTGTGACCTTGGGACATTTATAAAATGCCTCTGAGTGTTGGTTTCATTATCTGTAAAATGAGGCTCTAATCCTTCATCCAAGGCCCCTGTGCCTGTGACAGTGTTGACACTTGGGAAGTAGTTAGCCATTGGGGGCCTGCTGTTATCGTGAAGTATTCTAAAGAATCTAAAATTCCAAGATTCTATTCAGAAAACAGAACTCCTGTTGGGTAGCCACAAAGATAACCACAGCAAGAAAAAAGGCTGTACATCATCAAGCAATGTAGTTACCCAGTGAGTGTGTGGATGGCTCTGTTCCAGGCTTCCTAGCTCAGGTACCGTTGGGCAATTTCCCAAGCTGTTCCACAGTGGCTGGGGTGGGGTAGAGAAAGAGAGAATCCTTTTCTACTAATACACAATCAGGTACAGCAGCTGGCTACCATCTGTCATGCAACAGAGTAAGGCTGTTCTGAACATGAACTTCCTGGAAGCCAAGGCTGGATTTGCCATTAAGAATTTCCAGTTTGGAAGATGCCTAGAAGCCGAACCCAAGTCCTCCTTTGTCTAACTGTTTTGACTTGGGCTGAATAAAAACACGAAACATAAGCAACACTGAAGGTGGCTTCTGATGCACCCTAAAGCAGCCAAGGTAATATAGACCTGGGGACAAAAATGTCTGATTACGTTTCTCTGCGGAAGGGTCCTCAACAATCATCTTTAACCTGCTGGTTGTTTGAGAGTAACTCACGGTATTGGCAGAGCCCCATTATTGGTGAGGTCCCATGGAAGATGATCGGGGCTCTGGCTGTCATGGAATGTTCTGTTTGTTGTCTGGGAGGCTTTGCTCTTTGGGGAATGAGCAATCACCCCCAGCATAGCCAAGGATAGTGTAAATAACCTGATGTCTTCTTGTCAGTCATTGTTTCTGGGGAAAGCAGGCCATTTTGATGGTAAGGCTGTGCCTGGGGCATCAGTAAAACTCACCTCATAAAGAGGACATTTGGGGGGTGTGGAGAGATGGCTCAGTGGCTAAGAGCACCAGGTGCTCTTCCAGAGGACCCGGATTCAATCCCCAGCACCAACATGGCAGCTCACAATTCTCTGTAACTCTAGTTCAGGGGATTCTGGCATCCTCATACATACATGCAGGCAAAGCACCAATGCACATGAAATTAAAAAAAATTAATGTGTGCACATAAAATAAAAATAAATAAAATTTTTTTTAAAAAAGAGGACATTTGGGGGTTGGGTGGGGTTTCACATAGTCCAGTCTGGCATCAAAGTCATTCTGTTGCTGAGAATGATGTGGAATTATGATCCTCCAGTATCCAGTTTGTTACTGAATGCTGGGGTTTTACATATATTTTATATATACAAACCATGCCACACACCATCATGCATGGCTTATATGGTCCTGAGGACTGAACCTTGGACTTCATGTGTTTGGGGAAAGCACTCTATCAGCTGAGCCTAGCAAGAAAATAATTTTTCAAGTTGTGTTTCCACAGCTGAATCCAGGTGAGTCTGCAGTGAACCTGAGCCACACTGGTCTGTGTGAACATTTCTTCTGCTTGAGACTATTTGGGGGTCTTTGGGAACACCAAAATCATAAACAGAGGCCAGCAAAATAGCTCGGTGGTTAAGAACCCTCACTGCTCTATCACTGCTGGGGCCTCAATTCCAAGACTCACATCAGGTGGCCCACAAACATCTGGAACTCCAGCTTTGAGGACTCAGGAGGTCTCTCCTGGCTTCTGCAGGCACCTGTGCACACAGGTGTACATACATACACACAGCACAAATAAGATGAAATTTAAAAAGCACACAAACAATGTTTTCATTGTGGTGACTTCACTGGCTCTCCTGCTAACCTCTAAGAAAGGCACCAGACAGCAGGGGCTGAGCCTGAGTCTAGAGTACAGAAGACTGTGCAAAGGATACGAGTGGACGGACACCTTGATGGCTGTTCTTCTGATCAGGTTGAAGGGACTGAAGAGCCACAGGGCCCAAGTGGCACTGAACCTGGAAATGGTCCTGCCTTTATTCAATACCATGAATGTCTAGAACAAAAGCAGAAATGGACTGCAATGAGAAACAAGGTCCTGGGTGGCCTCCTCTTAGGCTCATGAGCAAGACCTGTTGGAAGAACCATGACTCATTGGCCATCTAGTAGAGGTGCAGAGAGTTAGAGAGGGTGAGGGAGCAGAGGCCACATCCTCACCCTCTCTGCAAGAATTTGGACTCCATGACTGACTGTGAGCCAAGGCAAGCCTACTGAGAGTGCTTCATGGACAGTGCTTCATGAGACATGCTGACTCAAGGGCTGGATATATGCAGCATGCCCAGGAGCAAATTCTGACCGCAGATGGTTGAGCTCAGTTGCATTTAATTCATCGTGTGTGTGTGTGTGTGTGTGTGTGTGTGTGTGTGTGTGTGCGCGCGTGCGCACATGAGTTGAAAAGGTGGAGATCAACCTCAAGTGTCATTCCTCAGGATCCTTCCACCCTTTTTATTTTTTTAAACAGTCTCCCACGGGCCTGAGGCTCACCAAGGTGAGGCTGGCCAGCCAGTGAGCCCCAGGGATCCACCTGCCTCTGCCTCCTTCTCCCCCCCCCCCCCTCCTCCTCCTCCTCCTCCTCCTCCTCAGGAGTGAGATTACAAGCACGTTCCACTCTGCCTGGCCTTTTTTCCCACATGTGTTCCAGGGATCAAAATCAGATCCCCATGCTTGTTCAGCAAGCGCTGTGCTGACTGAGTCATCTGCCCAGCCCCAACATTTAACTCACTTCCAGTCCTGTGCAGCCCCTGCTCTCCACTGCCTGGATCTCTCTCTAAACCATCTCTTGGTTCCCTCCTCTGTGCATTTAGAAAGAGTGGGTTCTTGGAAAGAGAGAGGATGGAGAAAAAACATGGCTCTGTGTCTTATCTCTTTTACAAACTACATTTGCAATGGCTTGTTCCAGCTCCTTGTCTTTTCCAAACATGTACTTACCATGTTTGGGCTGAACAGAGCCTCTAAGGCGCAGCACAGGAGAGGAAGCTGTCATGGGCACCTCTTTGCACTGTTAGCTCTCAACCTTTTTGATTTAAGAAAATCATTGAAGATTCTAGTTAATTATATTCATACTTTTTTGCTTTGCTCATTTGTGTTTGTGTGTATACATATGATAGAAATTTATATATGTATGTATGTATCTATGTAACTCATCTGTCTGTATACCATCTATCATCTTCTATCATCTATCTATCTATCTATCTATCTATCTATCTATCTATCTATCTATCTATCTATCTATCTATCTATCTATCTATCTATCTATCTATCTGTCTGTCTGTCTGTCTGTCTATCTATCTATCTATCTATCTATCTATCTATCTATCTATCTATCTATCTATCTATCTGCCTGCCTGTCTGTCTGTCTATCTATCTATCTATCTATCTATCTATCTATCTATCTATCTATCTATCTGCCTGTCTGTCTGTCTGTCTATCTATCTATCTATCTATCTATCTATCTATCTATCTATCTATCTGCCTGTCTGTCTGTCTGTCTATCTATCTATCTATCTATCTATCTATCTATCTATCTATCTATCTATCTATCTGCCTGTCTGTCTGTCTATCTATCTATCTATCTATCTATCTATCTATCTATCTATCTATCTGCCTGTCTGTCTGTCTGTCTATCTATCTATCTATCTATCTATCTATCTATCTATCTATCTATCTATCTATCTATCTGCCTGTCTGTCTGTCTGTCTATCTATCTATCTATCTATCTATCTGCCTGTCTGTCTGTCTGTCTATCTATCTGCCTGTCTGTCTGTCTGTCTGTCTATCTATCTGCCTGCCTGTCTGTCTGTCTGTCTATCTATCTATCTATCTATCATCTATCTTCCCATCTACCTACCGACTTACCTATCTATCTATCTATCTATCTATCTGCCTGCCTGTCTGTCTGTCTGTCTATCTATCTATCTATCTATCATCTATCTTCCCATCTACCTACCGACTTACCTATCTATCTACCTTCCTACTGTTGTCATGGTCTTGATCTTAGCGCTCAAACTCATGTATTGAAGGCCTGGTTGTCAGCCTGTGCTGCTGCTGTAACGCAATCAAAGCCTAAAAACATGGAGTCAAGGGAGAGGAAGTTAGATAACTAGAGGTATGCCCTTAAAGGGAATCAGGGCCCCAGACTCTTCTTCTTTCTCTTTTGGCTTCCTGGCACTGTGAAGTGAGTGCTTTTCATCTGCATGTACTTGCTACATGATAAACTGTTTCACCCAAAGTGACAGGGCCAAGCAAGCACAGATGAACAGACACTTCTGAAACTGTGCACGAAAACAAACCTTTCCTCCCTTGTCTATTTCCCATGATATTTTGTTACAGCAAAGGGACACTGACAGGAACACACACACACACACACATACACACACACACACACACACACACACACACACACACACTCACACAATGCACATGTACATATATCATGTTTGTATGTGTGTATGCACCCTGTGATGGCCAATGTTGTCAATTTGACATAATCTAGAATTCCCCAGGAAGAGTCTTAATGAGTGGTGGTCTAGATTAGGTTCACCTGTTGGCATGTTTATGGTGGGATTATCTTGATCATGTTAATTAAGGTAGGAAGACCCAATGCGTGTGGGTGGTACCATCCCCAGGCAGAATCCCGGACTGTGTGAGAGGAGGGAAAGCCAACTGAGCACTGACATGCATGCATGCATTACTCTTGTCTTCAGACTATAGACATAATGTAACTAGCTCCCGCAAGCTCCTGTGGCCGTGACTTTGCTACCATGATGGAGTGGAGCCTGGGATGATGAGCTAATAAACCTTTTCTCCCTTTCGTTGCTTATGTGAGAGCATTTTATTACGGCAGCAGGGAAGGGAAGTGGGGCCCATGCCATAGTCTTTTTTTCCCTTTTCCTTTCTTTTTTTTTAAATTTTGATTTTTGAAACAGAGTTTCTCTGTGTAGTTCTGGATGTCATAGAACTCACTCTGTAGCCCAGGTGGGCCTTGCACTCACAGAGATCCATCTACCTCTGCCTCCCAAGTGCTGGGATTAAAGGTGTGTGCCACCGCCCTGCTCACATGCCATGTTCTTAAGAAACTTTAAAACCCAGGAGCACATAGGCACACCTTCCAGTGACTGTTGTTGATGTTGTCCCCTTGGTTACCACTACAGGCTCACAAGACAATATAGGAAAGACAGTTGAGAGTCAACTATTATTTCAAGACAGTTTTGACTTCAGTAACCCATGAGAGAGCTTGGAAGACTCCAGGGGCTCCAAGACTGTGCTTCAGAGACCCCTAGCTTAGGCATCCCTCTCTCAACTTCAAAATCTCTGCTCTGCTCTGCAAAGAGAGCTAACACCTCTAGAGGCCCTAGGCTAGGTCTCACCCATGGGAACAAGCAACTTTCCATGCAGTTTCTGCAGCAGCTGTCTGCTTTGGAGCTTTAGGTTTCATTTGTCCCCATCACAGAGTTCCTAAAGATCCAGAGAGGGGTGTGTTCAACTTGCTTTTGTCAGCCTTATTTAGCAAACAGCTACTTCACCTGGGGGTGAGGACTTCCTGGGCGGGGTGGGACTGAGGCCTGCTCACCAAGAGCTAAGCGCAGTTGTTCCCAGGGGCAGTGCTTACCCGGTGTGTGCTGTAGAATGGGTCTAGGTCCTCCAGGGGCTCCCCGACCAGTTCTGCCGGGAGCTCACCATAGAACCTGGGCAGCTGGTTACAGGCTTTCAAGTCAAGCTGAGGCCTGGGCTTCTCATCCTGGCCCTTCCGCTCCCCATGCTTAGCTCTGGCCTTCTTGGCAGCACGATGGGCAGCAATTTGCTTCTCAATCTCTGCCAGTGACTCCGGGGTGAACCGTCGGAAGTTAGTAGTTTTCAGGGACCCAAAAGGGAACTCCATCTTTTCATTCTTCTTGGGGAAGACTTCACACTCTTATGGGAGGAAAATAATCACAGAGAGATGACAACTTGCCCGCTGGAACTCTCCCTTCCCTCGCCCTCCTTGATTGCTAGAACAGCCTCCATCCTTGTCCCCAGCTCCTCACATAACCACTCCTGCCCGCCTCCTCCCGCCTGCCCCATGCCTGACAGAATTCCACCTTCTGCAGGCCCTTTACAGGATCCAGGTACCACAGGTGAGTCTCTGCTCTGTGTGCCGAAGCCATTGTCCCCTCATCACTGTAACAAGCCCCACCCTGATCCCCTCAAACAGCTTTACACATGTTGTCATCTTCCCTCATCTCCAGGGTGGCCTGACTGCAGCCTCCCCCTGCCTCCCCCAGGACTCCGGCTCCTGACCCCCCACCTTAAGTCCCACCCTGCTTTCTGGCCACACGTTTCATCTGCTGATATTTTCTTCTGTTTCTCCCATTTTTTGGACTTCCTGTAAGCCTCACTGTCCACAGCACGAGTTTTCTCCAGAACCACATTAGACTATACTCTCCCACTCACACCCCAAGCCCAGGTCAACCTCTATCAGTTGAATTCCGTTTTCTTTGAAATCAGGCTGCTCTGGGTTGAAGCGGCACAGTCTGGGGTCAGCTAGATTCCCTGGTCAGCAGTTTCCTCTAGTCTGAGATTTTAAAGACTCTACTCTTTGCTAACTACTCCTGTCTCTTCGTGGAGAAAGCCGATGGACGTGTTTTCTAGTTGATGGAGAAAAACAGATCCCCAAATCTCTGGCTCACCTCCTGTGTCCACAAGCTCCTTTCCCCCCTGTCTTATGAGAGTATTGTCCTCATCCCAGCTAGGGTCAGACCTTGCCTTCTCCTTTGGTTCTTATCCCCTCCCCTTCACTGTCCCCTCCCCATCCCTGTCCCCTCCTCTCCCTGTCCCCTCCTCTCCCTGTCCCCTCCTCTCCCAGTCCCCTTTCTTTCCCAACCCCTTCCTTGACTCTTTTTTTTCCCTTTAACAATATTTGTTCGGGGCTGGTGAGCCAGTTCAATGGATGAAGGTGTTTGCTGTACAAGCCTGACCACCTCAGTCCCATCCCTGAAACCCATGTAAGAAAGAAACGACCCCAGAAACTTATCCTCTGACCTCCATACATATGCTATGGCATATGTGTACCCACACATACACTGTGCACACATGTGCATACACACACAAATTAAATTGCAAATTTTAAAGTATTTGCTCGGGGCTGGTGAGATACCTCAATGGGGGAAGGAGCTTGCTGTGCAAGTCTGGAGACCTGAGTTCCATTCCTGAAATCCTCATAGAGGAGGAAGGGGCGGACAGGCTCCACACTTGTCCTCTGACCTCTACACACGTGCACTCCAGTGCACACAGACAGACAGACAGACAGACAGACAGACACACACACACACACACACACACACACACACACACACACACACACACACACACCTGCCTGATACACAGCCCCTGCTGCACTCTCCTCCTGTCCAATCTCATTCTCTGCTGGTTTCACAGAGGGCTTGCTCTCACTGCGGGTCTCCAGTCACCCTGACATCCGTGCAGCTGAGCTTTTACCCTAACTTCACTGAAACGCTGCCAAAGACACCGGAGGCCTGCTGGTGGCTAACTCAGGGACTGTTCTCCTTCTCCTCTTGATGGTCTTGTTGGCTGTCTTAACCACCCCCCACTTAAAATCCTCTCGTCCTGGGTGCTGTGACGCCTCTTGGATTCTCTCCTCGACGTCTGCTTCTTAATCCTTCTCCTCCAGCTTTCCCTGCACGTTGCTATCTATCTTTAGGTTCTCTATTATGCTGTAATATTTTAGAGAGTAGCAGCCCCTGCATCACTGATAATGGCCAACATTTATGGAGATCCCATTATGTTCCAGAGTGTGGGTTAAGCAATTCGCACACATTATCACATAACCATCATGGGACCCTCTCAGGTATTAGCTTCAATGTATGAATGCACAGAGAGGAGACATCAGACTTTCCAAGATGACATGGCTAATAAGTGGTGGAACTCGGATCTGATCTCCGAAGAACAGCTCATCTCTTCCCCCAGGTCAATTCTCATTTCTGTGCAACAGATTCCCCGAGTCTTTGTCTCCAGTGTTCACATCTGTAGGACCCACGACCTCATTTGGTGTCTTCTCTTGAGGGTCTCATGGGCACCTGAAACTTAGCCTGCCTCAAACGGAGCCCATTTTCCTACTGCCGCCCTTTCTAGTCCTTGACCGTCTTCTGTGACTCTCTGGCTCCATGAATGGCCCCAGGTGGCCTAGCCTGTCTGCAAGCTGTGTCTTTTCTGTCTCAATCCCGTCTACAGCCGCATGCTCCTTCTTTCTAATGTCTTCTCGCCACTGCTGCAGTCCCCAGCCACACCCTACAGGAGCTTCTCCTTGAAGTTCACCCCTTTCCCCACAAGTCTATCTGTGTTCTGTTTCCTGCACCTGCAGTCACCTGCCCCTTTTCTTTTCCTGGATAATCCTGTCAGCCTTGGACTCTTCACTGTGAAACACCTTCCTCCTCCTTATATGAAGTCTGTGCTTAGATTCCCATTTCATGCTTCTAAAGACTTCTACGTTCCTCCACAAACTTATGGCCTAGAATTGCTTCTTTATTTTCTAGCTCCCCTACTAAAGTATAAGTACAGAGAAGCCTGGAAATGACCCCTAGAAGGCCCAACATTTAGAGGCTATCACCAATAGATTTTTGTTGAATGGATGGCAGGGATGATAAAAATGAACATGTTTGCTTTGAAAAGTAGAGGCAATCATCATAGTCCACAGAACCTAAGAAACAACCAAGTTTAGTGACTGTTTTATGAATTAATCAATTAAATCAGTTTCCCCAGTCCCATCACAGTTTCCCCTCCCTCCTCTCCTCCCAGCCCCTCCCCCCATCCACTCCCTCTCCCTTCCTTTCAGGAAAGTGCAGGCCTTCCAAGTATATCAACCAGCCATGGCATATCAAACTGCAGCAAGACTAGGCACCTTCTCTCATATTAAGGCTGGATGAGGCAACCCAGTAGGAGGCAAGGTCCCAAGAGCAAGCAACAGAGTTAGAGACATCCTTGCCCCCACTGTTAGGAGTCCCAAAAGAAGACCAAGCTACATAACTGTAACATACAGAGGACCTAGGTCAGTTCCATATAAGTTCTCTGGTTGGAGGTTCAGTCTCTATGAGTCCCCATGAAGCCAGGTCAGTCGACTTTGTGTGTTTTCTCGTGGTGTCCTTTGTCCCTCTGGCTCCCATAATCCTCCCTTCCCCTCTTGCACAGGATTCCCCAAGCTCCACCTAATGTTTGGCTGTGCGTCTCTGCATTTGTTTACATCAGTTGCTAGATGCAGCCTTTCTGATGACAGTTGGACTAGGCACCAATCTGTGAGTACAGCAGAACATCATTAGGAATCATTTCATTGACTTTTTTCCTTTTGTCAGCCATGTTTGGTTCTATCCCAGGTCTCTGGGCCATCCAGCCTCTGGGTCCTGGCACTCTAGGCAATGTCAGGGGTGGGCTCTCCCTCATAGTATGGGTCTCAAGCTGGACTAGTCAGTCATTGGTTGGTCACTCCCATAATTTCTGTGCCGCCTTTGTCCCAGTTTATCTTGTAGGCAGGGCAAATTGTAGATCAAAGTGTTTGTGGCTGGGTTGGGGTCCCAACCCATCTACTGAAGTCTTGCCTGGTTATGGGAGATGACCTGTTCAGGCTCTGTATCTCCCATTGCTAGGAGTCTTAGCAAGGGTCACCTTCATAGATTCCTGGGAGTTTACATTGCACTGGGTTTCTAGCTCATCCCAGAGATGCCTCTGATTCCAGTTGTCTCTCCCTCCACTCTCCCATCATCCGACCTCTCCTGTTCCCATGCCCACCCACCCCATCTAGACCTCTCCCTGCATCCACCTGTCATGTCTATTCTATTTCCATTGTGCAGTGAGATCCGTGCACCTCACCTTGAGCCTTCCTTGTTACTTAGCTTCTTTGGGTCTGTGGATTGTAGCATGGCTATCCTTTACTTTACAGCTAATATCCACCTATAAGTGAGTACATACCATGTTTGTCTTTCTGGGTTTGGGTTGATCTTTTCTAGTCCCATCTATTTGCCTGCAAATTTCATGATGTCACAGGTGTGTGAATTTATGTCTGGGTCTTTGGTTTGATTCCATTGATCAACATGCCTGTTTTTATGCCAATACCAGGCAGTTTTTATTACTATACCTCTGTAGTACAGATTGAAATCTGGGATGGTGATACGTCTGGAAGTTCTATTATTGTTCAGGATTGTTTTAGCTATCCTGGCTTTTTTGTTTTTCCATATGAAATTGAGTATTGTCCTTCCAAGGTCTATAAAGAACTGTGTTGGAATTTTGATGGGGATTACATTGAATCTGTAGATTGCTTTTGGTAGGATGGCCAATTTTACTATGTTAATCCCAACAATCCATGAGCATGGGAGATACTTCCATTTTCTGATATCTTCTTCAATTTATTGCTTCAAATACTTGAAGTTTTTGTTACATGAATCTTTCACTTACTTGGTTAGAGTTACCCCAAGATATTTTAAATACTTGTGGATAATGTGTTTCCCTGATTTCTTTCTCAGTCCATTTGTCATTTGTATATAGGAGGGATACCATTTTTTTTTTAGTTGATCTTGTATCCAGCCATTTTGCTGAAGGTGCTTATCAGCTGTAGGAGTTCCCTGGTAGAATTTTGGGGATTGCTTATGTATACTACCACATCATCTGCAAGTAACAATACTTTGCTTTCTTCCTTTCCAATTTGTATCCCCCTGATCGCCTTCAGTTGACTCATTACTCTAGCTAGAACTTCAAATACAATATTAAATAGATATAGAGAGAGTGACAGCCTTGCCTTGGACCTGTTTTAGTGGAATTGCTTTGAGTTCCTCTCTATTTAATTTGATGTTGGCTATAGGCTTGCTCTAAATTGCCTTTATTATGTTTAGGTATGTTCCTTGTATCCTACTCTCTCCAAGACTTTTATCATGAAGGGGTGTTGGATTTTGTCAAAGGCTTTGTTGGCATCTAATGAGATGATCATGTGGGTTTTTTCCCTTTCAGATTGTTTATATGGTGGATTACATGAACTGATTTTTGTATATTGAACCATCCCTGCATCTCTGAGATGAAGCCCACTTGGTCATGGTGGATGATCTTCTTGATATGTTCTTGGATTCTATTTGTGAATATTTTATTGAGTATTTTTGCATCTTTTTTTCTAAGGGAAATTGGTCTATAATTCTCTTTCTTTGTTGAATCTTTGTGTGGTTTGGGTATCAGGGTGACTGTGGCCTCATGAAATGAACTTGGCAATGTTCCTTCTGTTTCTATTTTGTGGAATAATTTAAGGAGTATTGGTGTTAGCTCTTCTTTGAAAGTCTGGTAGAATTCTGTGCTAAAACCTCCTGCCTGTAGGCTGTTTTTTTTTTTTCAGAAATTTTAATGACTGCTTCTATTTCATTATGGGTTATAGGTCTACTTATATTGTTTATCTGACCTTGGTTCAGTTTTGATAAGTAGTATCTATTGAAGAAATTAGTCATTTCTTTTAGATTTTCCAATTTTGTGGAGTATAGGTTTTTACCTGATAGAAGAGAAAGTGGGGAATAGCCTTGAAT